GCGAATCAAAGCTGGTTCAAAGTTGTTGCGACAACGCAACTAAAGATGAAACCGCATTAACATGTCAACAACGATTCTATATTGAAAGTTCATTTTTTAAATCAATAATTGGATCAACGTTGACATCAACGATATATATCAATATTAATTCAATGTTCAAAAAGTAAAATTGCAACGTGGACTTCATATTGAAAATCCATTGAAGAAATATTGAATCCACAATGGTTCAACGTTGATATGACAGGTCTATGCAATTTGTTTAATTCGTGCGCATGCGCCATTTCATCACTGAAGTAGTATTTGAAAATCATCTGGACACGATGTCCCTTCCTCTGAATCCGCTTTTTCAGATCCATCCATCCAAGGACAATGCGAACACAATACCGAGATGAGAAAGGGGGATCCTTTTCCCTGGAAGCAGGACACCGCCGTGATTACTGTGATGTAATATGAGGCTACTCTCCCTCCACGTTGACCTTCTGCAATGGTCATGATTTAGGTTCGTCCTCGAAGACATCGTGTCAGTGTCTCATGGAGTAATATGAACTCGCAAACGTTTTTAAACGTGTCCATCACACTACTCAGAATTATCTTGGGTCCCGTTTGGTTGGATTTCCACATTAGTCGAATATATCCTGCAAGTCAAATACCTTTCCCGGTGTCGTTTGTAGAGAAAATATCAAGTACTGCTCCAAAAGTACTTTGATGGCCTACATAAACACATCGGTGCCTATTTCGGGAAATAGGTCTGACAGAGTTAGGCTTTCAATCCTTGCTCCTAGTTATGCGTGCTGAAGAAGCCATTCTGCTTGTTTGAAGTGACGAAATTTGAGTAAAGTGCCTTTCAGCCCCTGTCTTATTCGCTGTAAATGTAACGTTCCTCTTGGAATAAATACTTCCTGGTATATTGGCTGAAGTAATTGGAAACTGTGATGTAGTAAGCATTGAAAAGGAATCATTTACTGCAGATACTTTGAACGTGAATTGTCTAATGTTAAAAAAAGTTACAAGAAACTTAAATTGTTGAAGTTTCTCATGAGGGAGATGACTAGATCAGTCTCAGCAGATCTATGTAAAAAGAACATGACATGTATTAATATCTTTTTTTTAAATTGCATGTTCATATTAAAATTATTTCAGCATATCAGCTCATACGGAAGTGGTGGACCTTGGAAAATTGACTCATGAGGGTTACTTCATATGTTTAAGTTCAACATTACACAAGAAAACTCAAATTTAGGAACATGCTCACAAACTTTCCTGATTAATTTCTAGTACAAACGATGGATGCAGAGAAAAAAGGAAAACCTCTGGACAAATTTCATGAAAAATACATGATTCAAGAAACAAAACTTCTATACATTAGATTAATTTCAATCATCCATGATTCACTTTAACAGACCCGATAAGTTTTAGATATATAGTATTTAACAGAAGAAACTATTCATTTCACGTAAGGAAGCAGGCTTCAAATAGATGCACCTCACCATCTTGGAGAAATCCATTATGCCTTTGAGGCTGACAGTCCTCTGGTATGATGACTTTGACCTCCTCTTGTAAGACACACAACTCAGCTTGGTGCTTTTTGCAGCACATCTCCATGCATACCTTTTAGTTCCACTGCTCAGATGTACCTAGCAAGGGTGAAAGTCAAAAGAAAGCAGTGATTACACATTTCTTAAAGAGCTCTCATAAAAAGGACAGAAAAATGGAATGATAGCCATTTAGATATTATTTAGCCATTAGATATGCTAGGGAACGATGTTGGCTTCATGTGGACCATAAGTGGGCGTATGCACACGTTCAAAAGAATAGCAAACTCCTGGTGGATAACATCAAAACTTTGAAGTTCTTCGCCAGGCCACTAGATGTAGGTATGGGGTCTCGTTTATCGCACAGCACGCAAAAGTTCCTATCCCTCTTTCCCAGGAATCGTCCTCAGCAGGATTGTTCAGTACCTCGCCATATGTCTCGACTAGTCTCATTATATGAATCAATAAACGCGGAAATTTATGCGCGGACACAACACCAACGAAAGAACCTTCACAACCGACCTCAAGAAGATGCATCCATGACCCATGGATGCATATGTGGGATGATGTACTTGGACCAAGCTTGTAACATGTGAACCTCGGAGTTAAGCCACACTTGTTGCGAGGATAAATTGTTGCCTTGGTACGCCCACGCCAGATGTCGTCAAATAAATTTATATGTAGTGCAACAGCAGCGCCATATTATTGACCGTGTCCGGTTTAGGAAACTTGACTATGCACTTATTGCCACCTGACAGGATGCCTTTTCCAAAATACTTTTGATCCATTTTACTTTGATAACCACAATTTCCTCCTGCCCTCTCCATCCTATTGAATATGTGAGTGTAGTACCTTAGAAGGATATCGACGTCCACGTGCTGTCCTGCATGGGGACGCGAGTGTCCACCTCATGTTCCCTATTGAGGACGTGCACGTCCTCATCTTTCCTCCTGTCGTCCACTTGACATCCACCCGCCGCGATTCCTCGTGGATATAGATAAACGTACCTAAAGGATAATGATCTTGAAATTGGAACAGCATCTAGCAAAACTTGACAGCGTGCAGCTGATCCTCTACTGATTTCGACATGAGCAGAATGTTGAAATAGTCTCATTTAGTGATGTCTTTTCTTCCAGATGCAAGAGCTTCTCTGTCCTGCAGTAAGTTCAGAAAATGATGCTTTTTCTTACTAAGAGCCATTAAAGGTCATTATCACTTTTCACAACTTAATCATTAGGTTGTGGAGTTTCTCAATATGTGGAAACATCCTCCAATCCAAAAGAGATTCTGGAGGAGTCTGATTTGAACCGAATCATAGGAGGAACACCCGTCCCAAGCCAGAGGAAGTATCCTTGGATAGCATGGATGATTAGTAGCACATCTGTGTTCTGCGGAGGAGCCCTCATCAATGATCGCTACGTCCTCACTGCTTCCCACTGCGTCTCCAAAGAGTAAGAATTGTCCAAGTCCACATGGTCATCCCTTAAAAAAAAGGCTTAGATTTCAGTCTACCAATCACCTTTTGATTCAGCTGGTAGCTACCATTAATATCGAAACCTGGACAGAGGTTCAAAAACAGCCCTTCACCTCCTGGCGAGGATGTGCTGGGCTAGCAAAACCCAAGTGGCGCAGGCACCCTGGCGATGTTAGATGCAGAGACCCGTGCAATGAGTAGCACCTCGAGGCTAAACGTGACACTTTAACCTTTTAAATACTTATTTAAAAGACCCTCGTATATGACTCTGAGCTGAATTATTATACTGGGTGCTGCAGAAAAAGGTCTATTATTTTTAACGCTGATAGCACAATTTGTGTAAGCGATATCGGTATAGGATACATACTGATACATAGGGAAAGACTCATGCGCTGCATTCTGTATTTGTTGAATTAATCGTTAAATTTTCGCGTTCTTCGTCAGACGAAAATAAAGAAGAAGTACGAAGAAGTAGAGTATAAAGAAGAAGTAGAGTAAAGAAAGCCGAAAAAAGGCATTCACATAGTTCACTGAACGTACCTAGAGACGCTTTGACAAGTACCTTTCCATTCACAATTTCAATTGGTCACGGATACAACAAGAGAATTGGCTGTGTTTCAAAGCGTAAATTTACGCCAACATCATTGTAGAATGAGCGATCTTATGTATAGGCCGGGAGCATTTAAAGGATTACCGATCCGTCATGATGAAACTTGATCAACAAATGCCGCATTCTCCAAGTAGCCTCGCGGGCGAAATTGTATTGATATCTCCGGAGAAAGCAGAATTGGCCTACCTTGCAGTCTGCGTGTCCCTTCCTCCCCCCCCCTCCCCTCTTTTCTTAATACATACTCAATATAGAAACGCCTAGAGACAGAGCATAATCCTAGTACGACGTTTCTTCCGAGACGTACTGATGTACGTCTCGGAAGAAACCAGGAATCGTATTCAATATAGGTCTTATCTCAGTCTCCTATGCTTAGATTTGAGCAGGCCACTAACTTTTCGCGCCTAAGCACCCTACTTGAATGGATGATCCAATTCAAAATCCTTCCTAAGCATAGCATCTAGCTGAAGTGGAATGCTCAAATCTAAGGAAGGGTCCCCCATCACTTATTTCTTAGCAGAGTGGATAAGTGGGCTAGTATATAACATGAGTAACACTTTTATTGAACTGCCAGATAGTCAACCCGATCGACACAGACACGTTGATGTCAACGTTGAGAAAAGGTTGAAACGTTGAGATTTGGTTAAAGCTGAAAATCCTACGAAGAATCGACATCAAATCGTAAATCATATATGAGGAGAAAAGAATTTGTGCTTAATTTTGCACTAAACGACTTCGCTAATCCACGAGTAGTCACAATATGCTGGAAATACTGTTAATTACGAATAGCCAGCATTTCATTGGCATCGATTCTTCGTCGGATTCTCATATTTAACTAAGTGTCAACGTTTCAAACTTTTCTCAATGTTGACACAACGTGACTGTGCCGACTGGGATCCCGTTTGATGCTTATGACGACTCTGACTTGTACAAGCGTTACCGATTTGACATGAGCAGCATTCTTTTCCTCACTGGTCTTCAAGAGGACATGGAAGCAGTAGCTCCCAGAAATAGCCACATAATCCATGTTATTCAAATCTGTGTTGGTTCACAGTACTTTGTTACAGGATCTTTAAAAATTGCTAAATGAGCGACTGTATGGAAATCTCCCACGTTTCTGCAAGTAGGATATTTCGGAAGGTTGTACTTGCTATGAGAGCAAGGTTTCACATTTTGTGACGCAAACAGATGATGGTCAGATGGCACAATAAAGGGATGCCTTTGGTCAATTCCCAGGTGTGATTGACGTGATCATCGGTATTCAGTTAATAAGCTTCATTTCTTCAATCGCAAGGGATTCATTCGATAAACGTCATGTGAGTTTACAAAAGTGCATATGAGATCACATGTACGAGCTATGTCTGCCCACTGGCCGGTAGTGTCTACGATGTCCAGGTACTCCACTAGGTTCCTTGTATGGCCAGTTACAAAGTAGAGAAGCCTCTGGTTTCTCTCTCGAAGAAAGCGGCTTTGGCTCTCGCCAACGGGTGCGACATAATGGAGCACATAGGACAACCATGGAGAAGGTAATATTTGGGCAGGGGAAAATGAGGCTCCATTGCCTACATTCACAAAAGGTCTGAGGACTTCGTGACTATTTGAATATATTCATGGATGAACAACCGAATGAAGATCCAGATGGAGATGCATACCAAGACCGTCTGGCACTGGCATGAACCCATCACAAAGTCCTCTTGATATTTAACATCAAAACCATTTGCTCTTGTAGGTTAATATTCGCTTTTCGTTTGAAAACTGCCATGCTGACACGAAAGAATGGGGCCTTTCCAGGAAGTAACGCTTGCTCGGCGTCCCTTAGCACTCTGCTAGGATAAGCAGTGTGATAAGACGGATATTGAATGACTGAGTTGAGTACCCTGCTAACCTTAGCAGACACCTTAGAAGGGTTCAAGGCTTACTTTTAATAAATATATTGAATACGGCCCCAGGACTTACCTCTGAATATAACTGTTTTTCAACGCATTTGAGAGCATACCCGATGCCTGTGACACCGGTAAAAAAAGATGTCTGTTCCGGTCTTACAGTACAAACCTGCTAATTGGCTGTCGTGATCTCAAACCTGCTATCCGTAAGCGGTATGTCGGTGGTTTCAGGTGACCTTTTCCGCCCTTCAACCACGGCTGATGCTGTAGAGGTTGAAGTAGCAAACTGATCCCGCAGATGTCTGAGTCAAATGTATTGATCTTGCACAAGGGTGGTGTTGTGTGATTTGTCAGAGCGTGGACCGTCACACGTTGAACCATGTTGCTGAAACCAGTCCCATAACCTTCAGACGGTACACATGTACACTTAAAAATGTCTTCCAACGATTGACTAGGATTCACTAATTTCTAATTTCCTTAAAACATTATTGCAATCCGCCTGAGAGACTCGGACTGAAACCAGTCCCATAACCTTCAGACGGTACACATGTACACTTAAAAATGTCTTCCAACGATTGACTAGGATTCACTAATTTCTAATTTCCTTAAAACATTATTGCAATCCGCCTGAGAGACTCGGCAGAGACGGCTGTACTGCACTACAACGACTGCCTACCAATTGGCGAGAACCTAGACATATTATTGAAAACAGCATTACACGACATTGCACCAGGTTTCATTGAAAAAATGGTATCCTCATGCATTTTACTTTGTTGCTAGGTAAAGCTTGAATTCAAGCACTAGCGGTAAGATATAGTGTATATTTAAGATCAAAATAGGGTGAAACACTTAAGTTAGCTTCGCAATACATGAATCAATAGCTACATGGCTTTACTTCATTAAACTGTGCTTGAGATGAATTCATATTTCAACAATGCGTTCCTTTTTTCAGTGGGTATGTATTGATTGAGATCATGAGGATTATTGTCTGTCTTGATTCCACACGTTCTTTAAAAATCCCAGGATCCCAGGATCCCAGTCAGGAAAGTACCAAGTGACTCTGGGAAACTTGGACCGACTGAATACATCTAATCCCCAGTCCATCGAGATTCCAGCGACGGCCATCATGCATCCTCAATACAACGATGTAACTGTTGAGAACGACGTCGCCCTTTTGAAACTCGACACTCCATTGAACTTCACAGATCATCCGCACATCCGTCCCATATGTCTCTCCAGTGATGCCAACCCGAATCCAGGAACAAAAGTGAAGATCGCAGGGTGGGGTTCCATTTTAGGAAGTAAGGTCAATACGATGAAGTCGCTATGGAGCATTATGAATGATTTAAATGCTGCTTTAACCCATGTGACCGCATTTCAGGTGGCCCTTTATCGGATAAGTTGCTAGAAGCTACAGTGTACGTGATCAATCAAGAGGCTTGTCAGGACAATTTCCCCATGTTTAACATCTCCAAGAACGTCATCTGTACGCAGTCCGGAGGGAAAAACGTCTGCAATGTAAGCCAAGTGTAAAGTTATGATATCACTATTGATTGAGAATACAAGATTTCCATCCCATCTCCAGGGTGATTCTGGGAGCTCGTTGATGTACCAAACTCCGGCTGGGTATTATCTAAGCGCTGGGATCACCTCCTTTGGTAGAGAAGCTTGTTCGCCAGAATACGGCGCCGTATTCACAAGAACAGCGAGTATGTGATTGAAGGCATCTCCAAAGAACCTTTTCTGCAGGGAAAACCGTTGTGTCATGAATTTTTCTTTGCAGATTATTTGGAAAATTTCATCAAGAACAACACCAAAGATGCTAAGTGGTGCCCAGCATCCAGTGGTTCACCGTCTCTTCGTTCTTCGAAGTACTTCCATCTTTTCTGGTTTCTTGCTTCGCTTCTTGTTCTCTCGTCTTGGAAATGAAACATCCCTTCCCTTTCCATATTTCACTGCACGGTTCCATCTGCACGTCCATGTACGAACATCGATAACTTAGCATTTCCGTTAGTCACATAAAGCATGCTAATGATGCACTCGATGCCGCTGCCTAGGGATCGATTTGAACTCTCACCGTGAATAAAGAACGTCATCTTGTTAGTGGCCCGCCTCGTTCATTCACTTCTTTGTTGACGATTCAAATCTCTATAGAATTCTGATCTAAATATGCGCGACATAGGTGAAAGTCACTATTCGCCCTGAGCTTCCCTTCCACAAGGTCCAAGTTCAGAAACCCCCCCCCGGAATAAATAAGTTCTTCACAATCTCCGGTTGAAGCGCGGCATTCCTACAACTCCACTGAAGCTGCTACTAGTACACCACCGTACCCAGGTTGCTCAGTCATACCTCTCCATGCCATTCCTAACCTTACAACGGGAGAGAGAGGCATTCTACGCACTTCCCCCTCTCCCTATTTAGGGCGATCCGGTTTTCCACAAGTACATGTGAACCATCCACGCGTATTACCCCCGCGAGTCCCCTTTCATTTCTGGAGGAAGGATGACTTCCTCGTCGGTATTAGATCTCTTTCCATATACTGAATTCATCGGGATCCCGACCCCTATATCAGTTGGAACCCCCGGCCCTTTTTCGATCGGCACTCACGAAGAGAGCGACTCTCGAGGGTGAAAACGGCGGGATCCCACCTGTATGGAACAGGAGCGCTTACTCCTGGATAGGACAGTACAACGTCGGGGGGCATTGTAACCATCCGGCTTCTATATCCTTATTTTTCACTCATAGGCTTACGTGAAAAGTGGTGAGATGGACTTCATGGACGATACGCACATAGTCGCGATCGAACCTGGATGCGAGAGCCACTCACACAACATGCACCAAGGACCATGCTCGCGAGCAGCGTTGGGAAAGCTTGTGGCAAAATTTGAAAAGACAGGATCTATGGCCAATTTGAAAAAGAGAAGAGGTCAAAGACCTTCCGAGGACATGCCTGCAGAAGTGGCATCGCATGTTGATATTGTCAGTGCAAGGGCTGTTGCACGTCGAACTGGAATACCGGTAGAGACAGTTCGGAGGACGATAAAAATTGCGCTTCGGCTGTTTCCATATAGGATTCATCGAGTTCCGGCTTTGTCAGCTGCCGCCATGGAGAGGCGCTACAACTTTGCAATGGAGTTCTTTGCACATGTGAAAATTGATGAAACGCGGTTTGGAAACATCATTTAGAGTGATGAAGCCCATTTCACCCTCCATGGCACGATCCACACCAAAAACTGCTTTGTCTGGGCAGAGGAGAACCCCATCGTCCAAGAGCTTCTCCACGATGACAAAGTAACCGTGTTGTGTGGATACACACGGGACTTCCTGTTGGGCCCCATCTTCTTCGAAGAACCCACACAGCGTAGTTTCAAAACCGTCACTGTAACAGGAGAGTGCTACAGGCGGTTATTGGAGCAGCACATCATCACGGACCTGCAGCAGCCATGCAGGACAGTGCCCCTCCTCATATGTCCAGAAACGTTAAAGCTCTGCTCTAACAAAATTTCGGAGATCGCATAATCGGCAGACACTTCCCATTTAAATGGCCTGCACGATCTCCGGACCTCACATCAGCTGATTTTTGGTTGTGTAGATACTTGAAGTCCCGTGTTTATCGCCAAGGTCCCACCACGCTGGTTGACCTGAAAACTGCCATACGGCTTGAGATCACCATGATCCCAAAGGAAATGCTCTCAGCTGCAGTTGGGAATGTCCTACCCCGCCTAGAGGCCGTCAGCACGGAGTCCACATCGAGCAGCAGCTCTAGTCGGATCACTGTAACACATGTGCCTCACCATGCTTGTTTATCACAACCTTAGAAGCCCGTGTTACCAGTAGGTTACATGCCAAGTTTCAGTTTCATCTATCTAGTGGTTTGCTTTGCAATTGACCACGTGACATGCGCAGGTGGTGCCATCTTTTGACACTCTAATTCTTTATTTTTTATATTTTTCTCCGGATTCGAGAGGCCCATACTTCAAGCTGTTTACATGCTAGGTTTCAGCTTCTCTGTCCGATGGTTTCTTTTGTACATGGCCATTCATCGGTTAACTTTTAAAATGGGTCACCCGTGCTTTTGCACGGGCCACCTACTAGTGTCTTCTCATTGTGCTGAAGTGGACCAAACTTCTCAGAACGGACAATTGGAATTGAGGTATCGTTACACTATATGAATATTTGATGAAAGAGATTGCGTTTGCGACGCTCCCACGCTCATGAGCATGTGTGCGACGAAAACAGTGAGAATAAAGTGAATGCTACAAACTTTCATGAAGTATTATAGCAAACCCCCTACCGGACAGGAAAAACGACGAAACTATGACATGTTAGCATTGCCATCAGGTGCTATAGTAACAGCGTCTAACCATATATTCCAATTTTTTTTAGGAAACTCAGTCGATTCAAATGGTACGAATGTGGAACTCCAAGATACAGTATATCAAAGGAGAAATGAGGAATGCTTTCTCTACTCAAAGTGACTCCAAATTCCCTTTTAGGCAAATGTCAGTGAGTTCTGTCTTATAGCATTCTAAAGAGACAACGTTCGACTTTCGAACAGTGACGTTCCGAATCAATAATAGACAATGCGTTGAGGCATCAGGGAAAAGCGGTTTGCACGAGCGGAATTATTCAGGTATTTCCTCTCAGGATCCAGCTGTGACAGGTCTTTCGAACTGAGCCCAGCGAAAGATGGGATGGAGCCGACTCAAGAATCGAACGTGAAATAAGGTCGACAACCTGGTGCCCATGTCGGTCAGACACGATCCGTGCGTCGTCCCAGTTAGGTTCCGTCGGCGACCGAGTTTTGGGTCGGATGCTGGCCATGTTCCGAATTCCCGATCGTGGTTTTCATTCGCGTCACAAATGGTAATATCGTCAAAGAAATGGTTCTTGAAAGGTTCAGTAGAGTGGTAATCATTTAACGAACTGCCACACGGATCTGTCCTTGCTCCGCCGCTTTTTAAAAAAGCTCCTTCGCTCTTTAACCTCTTCACGAGCGATCTACCGCAAACAACCTCCAGAAAATTTGTCTACGAGGACGACATTGCGCTCGAGTCGCAGGGAGCAACCTCTCCGCCATCGGCGACACCCTCACCGCTGACCTGGACACTTTAGAGAAGTACTTCCAAAGATGGAGACTACGCCCAAACCCGACTAAAACATCAGTCACCGCATTCCACCTCGACAACCGCGCCGCTAAAGAGACTCTTCCTGTCTCCTTCTGCGGTCATCCAGTAAATAATGAGGCCAAGACAAAATATCTAGGCGATACCCTAGATCGCAGCCTCACCTTCAGATCCCACCTCAGAAGGACATGCAAAAAAGTGAGGGCTAGGGTCAGTGTCGTGCGCAAACTGGCGGGAACCTCGTGGGGTGTGGGGGCGCGCACACTACGAACAGCGTCACTAGCACTGGTTTACTCGCCTGCAGAATACTGTGCTCCTGTTTGGTCGTCGTCACGTGTGTGTTTCCCAAACCTGCGAGTTGAGTTGCGTAGCTACGCAGACTTAAGCCCCTGAGATTTTAGGTGGGGACAACTTACCGATGGTTGCGAGTCCCATATTCCACCTCCCAACATCCGCAGAGACGCGCAGACATCACGCATCTTTAGCCGAATAAAATCCAACCCCGATCTTCCAATTAATGAGGACCTAAAAAATCTGCCGAGGACCCGGCTAAAATCCCGCCGGCTAAAAAAGCCCTGGGTCAGAGCTATTGTTCTCGACGCGTCTTCCTTTGACTTGGAGGAACAGTAGAAAGCCATGTGGGTGAAAGCCATCGTCCCCAACAAAAGGCTCGTTTCTGATCATACCACAGAAGTTGCTGGTTTCGACCTGCCAAGAAAGCATTGGACCATGCTAAACCGCATCCTCACCTCGCACGGCCGTTGCGCCCACCTCTTGCACCGGTGGAAAATGAAGACCACCCCCAGATGTGACTGCGGTTTCGAAGACCAAACCATAAAGCACATTATCCATCAGTGCTCACTCCGATCGTTCCCAGGAACCTTGGACGATATCCATGAGCTTACCCCAACAGCCTCCAATTGAATCTTCAACCTTGACATGAGCTTATAAATGTTGCTGATTAATCCCCCGCCATACGCAATAAGAAGAATTTAAAGATATTTTGAGCGCAATGTGAGACTGAGGTCGATACCCCAACAGCCTCCAATTGAATCTTCAACCTTGACATGAGCTTATAAATGTTGCTGATTAATCCCCCGCCATACGCAATAAGAAGAATTTAAAGATATTTTGAGCGCAACGTGAGACTGAGGTCGCAGGATAACTTCTTCACTTGGCGAGTGATGAGAATTTAAAAAAACCTGCTATCTGATATTCATTTGCGATCGGGAAAGGGACGGTTCCCTCCCTTCCCGATCTGCTTTGGAGATCGGGAAAGGGAGGGAACCGTCCCTTTCTCCCTGACTCCGTATCGCCTATCTCCGAACCCTGACTCCGAATCGCCTTCCGAATAGGAAAAACACCTCCCCATCAGCTCGCTTCGAGCGGTATCGACCAAGAAAACTGATCCTCGTATAGTGGACACCACAGTGAAAACACATCATCCGTGATGCAAGTGTAGTTGAAGACCGTTCTCCCCATCCAACGTTGCTAGTGGGTTCCATAATTTTTCAAATCTATTTATGCCTCCATTCTGGGTGCAGAGAAGGATGTAGTCATCTTTTATTTTCCTGGACAGCCGTTCGTGAAA